ATTCTATTCTATTCTATTCTATTCTATTCTATTCTATTCTATTCTATGCTGAAAGAAACAGAAAGGCTAAGTACAATTTTAATAATACGTTAAGAGCAGAGGTGGCATTCAAGCAGGTTCTGACCAGTTCTGGAGAACCGGTAGCGGAAATTTTGAGTAGTTCAGAGAACCAGCAAATCCCACCTCTGACTGGAGATTTTACAGTATCCTTCCCCTGCCACGCCCACCAAGCCACGCCCACAGAACCGGTAGTAAAAAAAATTGAATCCCACCACTGGTTAAGAGAGAAAAATCAGAATATTCAAAGGCATCTGGTAGAAGGAACTGCCCCAAGGAATTTTGGAAAGTGTAGATTAATCTCTTGGTATTCCAATAAGGAACAATTTTCAGAACAGAAAGTTGGGCAACTTTTTCTAATTTCAGTAGTTCATGAGTATAGCAGCAATGTCTACAGGGAAGAGGTATCAAAAAGAGATGACAGGCAGATTCCAGGTTCTTTTTGTACTTTTTGTATCAATATTTCAACCTGCCCTTTTTGTTATGTTATATTATATTATTATATTATATTATATTATATTATATTATATTATATTATATTATATTATATTATATTATATTATATTATATTATATTATATTATATTATATTATATTATATTATTATATTATTATTATATTATTATTATATTATTATTATTGGTCAACTTGTGGCAGTGAACATACCTAATATCCCTATCTCCTATTTTCCCCACAACAACAAACCTATGAGTATGATGGCATATGAATATAAATTGGAGGGACTTTGATTTGATTTGACAGCTGTACCCACCATCTGCAATTTCTTGAACCTTCTATGGATGCCATTCAGCTACAGGATAGAATCTTCCCCTTCATCTCATAATCTATCACAATAACTTCTTTTTCAAAAGTGCCTCTAATAATTCATCTTTCAGCAAAGCTATATTTAAACACACAAACCATTATTTACTTTTGGTGAAGTCATCTGTGGGGTGCAGTTTTCTGATGAATGCTGTTTCTGAGAGGTTCATTTCTGCAGCAATTTTTTGATGCCAACTTTCCTCCAGCTCCTAAAATGAACAACAACCGACTTAAATAATGATCTACAAATGCATCCCATGTAATGTTTCACATTTTTAAATAAATATTCTGTGTTAAATGTATCTTGTAAACCAGGGGTCCCCAACCACCGGTCCGTGGACCGGGACCGGTCCGCGGAACAACTCCTACCGGGCCGCTGGCTTGCTGGGCGCCGCCATCTTTTTTTGATGAAAAGTGCTTCCGGTGAGCTTTTCCGGGTAGAAAGCTCACCGGAAGCACTTTTTCATCAAAAAAAGATGGTGGCGCCCAGCTGATGCCGGTACCGGGCCGCGGCGCCCAGCTGATGCCGGTACCGGGCCGTGGCATAAAAAAGGTTGGGGATCACTGTTGTAAACAACACATTCCTCCCAAACGAGAGGACCATTTCTATCTCCAAATTCCTTATTCAGCAGAGGTACAGAAGACCCATGAATAACAACATGAAAAAAAAATCACTCATGTTTCAGTTCCTATATGAGATGGTGCTCTACCCAAAATACTAATTCAAGGTGAGGTGTCTTCTTGTATGTACGGTGACCACATCTTCTTGGAATAAAATAAAGGACCAACCTCAAAAATGGGCAAATCTGAAGGAGGCTCATAAGGAGCTTTAAAAATTAATTGTTTCTGTTTTAACTTTGTTATAGAAAGGAAAATTCAAGGAGAAAACCAAAAATAAATAAATCTAACAGACAGCTTTCTGAAATGAAGTATTGTTCTTTATAATCATTGAATTCTTTATTGTCATTGTAGACAGTATACATACAACGAAATTCATGTAACACCCAGAGACCAGACTCAACATGCACACACACATGACAATCCTCAAACACCTCCCCACCCACCAAAATTCCCTGCCTTCTAAAAACACACAAGCCTCCACACAACAGATCAAGTAATACTGCCCAACAGCTTACTGATGGTGATCCTTAAGCTCATTGTTAAGTGCAGTTATAGCTCTGGGATTAAAAACTATTCAGAAAACGTGTGGTCCAAGTTTTAATTGTTCTGTATCTTCTGCCAGAAGGCAACAGTTCACAAAGATTGTAAGCAGGATGGGAAGAGTCTCTGAAAATGTTGTGCAACAGCAAGATGCGAAGATGTCATCCAGGGCTGGTAGCTGGAGCCCAATGATATTCTGGGCAGTTTTAATGATTCTCTGTAGAGCTATTTTGTCCACTACAGAGCTGCTCCCATACCATACAACAATGCCGTATGTCAGGACACTCTCAATGGTGCTGCAGTAATAGGACAGAAGTAGATGCTGAGATATATTTATCAGCCTCTTTTGTGCCTTCTTTACAAGCATGTTAACATTCATAGTCCATGAGAGGTCCTCTGAGATATAAGTGCCCAGAAATTTAAAGCTACAACCCTCTCCACCTCCTCGCCAGTTATGTACAATGGTAAATGTACATCTCTTTACCTGCTGAAGTTAATTATAAGTTCTTTAGTTTTTTGGGTGACAAAAAACACAGTGACAATAAATACCACTATATTTGTATTTATATTTATGTGTGCAGCTCTGAGAACAAAACAAAAAAAAAATCTTATTTTTCCTGCCCTCTAGTAATTGTGCACATTTTTGCAGCCAAACTCTGGTAGCCAAATACAAATACAGTGACTCTCTATAGGTAATCCTCGACTTATGAACATTTGTTTAGCAATGGCACTGGAAAAACAAGTGACTTACAACAAGTCCTTGCACTTACAATTGTCACAGCATCCTTACAGTCACATAAATAAAATTTGGGTGGTTGACAACTGGCATGTCATTATGACAGATGCAACAACCTGAGTTCATGTGATTGCCATTTGCGACTTTCTCAGCCAGCCTCTGATAAACAAATTCAATGGGAGAAGCCGGATTCATTTAATGACAGCATAATTCACTTAACAACTGCAGTGATTTGCTTAATTGTGGCAAAAAGGATCTTAAAATCAGGCTTGACTCAATTAACAACCACCTTGCTTAGTAACAGAAATTCTGGTATGAGCTATGGTTGTAAGTCAAGTTCTTTAAACCAGGGGTCTCTAACTTTGGCAGCTTTAAGCCTTGGCGGACTGGGTGAAGAATTCTGGGAGTTGGAGTCTGCCAAGGCTTAAAGTTGCCATGGTTGGAGATCCCTGGTTGAACTTGAAAGTTTAAAGTTTTTAGGCTTTTGTGCAAGCCAGAATATTGCTGGCAAGATATGGAAGGCCTGACTTCCGGTTTGCAGCGCTTCGGCGGCAGGCAGGAATCCGCAATCGTGTGTGGTTTCTGCCTGGGCTCACCGCTGGAGTGCCCTGAGCCAGCTGGCTTCGGGGCTAAGCCACCCTGTAGAGGTGGTGAAGACAGGGGAGGTTGCCAGAAGGGTCGAGGAGAGCCGCATCTCTCCTCCTCAGCTGGCCAAACTCCCTTTTCCGAAGGTGGTAAGAGTGGCGGTCAGAGATGGCTGCCCCAAAGAAGCACTCAACCGGAAAAGAAAGTGCAGGAGGAAGTTAAGAAGTGAAAGTTTTGGCTGACCGGGATAAAAAGCAACAACTAAGGTACCCTGGAATTTACATTTTATAAAAAGATAACATCGCTCCCAAAGAAGAGTCGGAAGCAGCGAACGAAAGTGAAACGGGAAAGTTTTTTTTCTTCACTCTCCTTCCTCACGTTGACAACAAAGAGAGCTGAATAAGAAATCGAAAAAACCTGCTTTGGCACCAATAGGTAACTAAACTGGAAATATAATTAAATGCCAAAGGGACAATAAAGATTTCTGAATACTAAAAAAATCCTTTTTTTTTGTTATAAGTGGGAAGGGAGAGGAAAAGAATAAGGGCAGGATTTGGAAGGAGGAGTCTGCCTGGAATTTATAAGAATCTAAAGTTAAATCTTAACAAGACTTCTAAAAGATACATTTTAACTGGAACTTTGCAACTAAATAGTAACCCCAGGAAGAGAAAGTGAAAAAAGAAGAAAGTGTTAAAAGAAACAGCTGGTGTGTATTCGGATTGCTTGGTGACTTTGGGATTTCTGGAAACTATATTTGAATGACTAAAAACAATTGGGTGGTTGTTTAAAAAAAAAATCTACAATGGCATCACCTTTGGATGAACTGAAAATGGAATTTAAAAAATATAAAGAAGAGACACAAGAAGGGAAAGGCTCCTTTGGCTCCGTTTTTCAATTCTTAGAAATGGCGATTGGTGTCTACAAGAAACAACAAGAAAAGACTGTGCAACAAGAAGACTGGGACAAAGAAGAAGCCATCTTTAATGAACAAGAAACTCTATCTGGGGAAGAAAGGGGAAAGGGGGGAAAGAGAATGAAGAATTTAAGATTTAAAAATACAGCCAAAAAAGGGAAAAATAATGTGAAAAGTGGATATAATGTTGGAAAGCAACAGAAAAGGGGAATACAGAAGAGGGAAATGGAGGTGGAGAGACAGGGGGGTAAAAAGGGGAGAGAGAAGAAGAAAGGGAAGAAGGAAGGGAAGAGAAGTTACAAAGGTTTGGAGCAAGAGGTAAAGAAACAGGACTTATTCAGAGATAATGGGTGAAAATTTAATTGAAAAAGGGATTCTGTAAAGGTACATGAGATTGTACTGTTATATTTGTAATAGAAATAATGTTAGAAAATTGGAAACAACATATGATTAAAAAGTGGGGTAAAACAGTCAGTGAAATTCAGTGAAATTTTGATAACAAAATAAATGAAATGAAATAAATGAGAGAATTGAATTAGGAAGGAATGGGAACATTTTAATTACTCAATGTTTTATAAAATATAAGTCGGGGGGAAGTAACTATGGAAAGCTTATAAGTGTTCCCATAGATGTATGATACTTATTTGAAAAGTAATGTGTAAAATGTTTAAGATTTAGATGAATATTAATATTAATGATAGTATTGAATTGGTATGGATTGTTGTTTTAATTATGTTATATATTTATAATCTTTTCTTCTTTTAAAATACAGTGTGTAGTTTTAGAATGTACCAAGCAGAATCCGAACAGAAGTTATGTATTATATCAAGTGTTATAATTTTAGGGGAAAGATATAAAGGCGTCATACTCCAATCAGTGATTACAGGAGAAATTTTGTTTAATGAGAAAAGATAATAGACAGTTGAAACAGGACAGACAAAGAATATAAGTACAATGATTTGAATTGAGATGAAATAAATAAAATAAAATTAAGAAAGTTAAAAGAGGGGAGAAGCTATATAGAAAATGTAGAATGGTAATAAGATATGGAATGGAATATAAAAATGAGCATGAACTTGAATTTGTGTCTGTACGAAGAGATGTAACCCAGGATCATGCTGCTTTCAAAAAATATGTTTTATGTTTTTATGTTTTATGTTCTGTTTGTTTATGTTTGTTTTTAAAAATCAATAAAATTTTCAAAAAAAAAAAGATATGGAAGGCCTGATAGCTCATTAGAGACAGCAAGAGAGGTTTTCTTTTACTACTGTTGGAAGAAATATCCTTCTGGGTTCAGTTCCAAGTGGGGAAAAAGACACTGGAAACATGGAGGCTGTTTGGAAGGTTTAATGGTAGACAGGACTACATGGCCTGGAGCTCCAGAGTGAAAAGGAAGGATGATCACATGCTTCAATGTGAAGGAAAAGATCAAGAAAAGGCTGAGGTGCTGAGAGTGCCTGGGTTTTATACCCTCTGTTGAGATTTGAATTTGAGCTTGTATTCTGATTGGTTGTCAGACTCCCATTGGGCCCTGCAGGGGCAACTCTGTAGGCTGTCCTGAGTTCCAGGCTTGGTTGAGCCTTGCTGGATGATGATGCATTGAAAAGGCTTTGGGCAATTGCTATAGTTTTACCTGGAGATATTTGTTATGTAAAGTATTCTGGCCCAGGCCTTAATGGCCCACCCATTAACAAAGGTGGGGGTGAGATTAAAAGGTGGGGGTGAGCTTCTGCTTCTGAGGTGAGTTTCTGCTTCTGAGTTTCTACTCTTTCTAGAAGAAATATTCTGCCTTTTTAATATTTCCCAGGATATTTCATTTTTCTAGGAGAGGTGTGGGTGCCAACTTCCTATACTACAGTGGGAGAGAGTGAAAATGAGTGATGTGCTGCTTCTTCATGCAGAGAGCAGAAAGACCCCTCTTTGAGTTGGGGGATGGCGCTGGAGAGCTAAAAAGACAAAATAAAACATCACTTGAAGCTGCAGCTCTAGAAGCAAGATATAAAGAAGCCCAATGGGTGTCCAGCAGCCAGAATCTTGTATGGCCCAGCAGGAGAAGGCCTAAGAAAACTCCATCGCTGGATTTGACAGGAAAGGCCAGGCATGACACGGTGGAGAAATCACATTAAAAGACCTATCAAAAAGCCACCAGTGGTAGACCAGTGTTCTGTCTATGCAGAGGGTGGCTGTCAATGGCAAACCAGGCAGAAAGTGGCTGGGACAGTTTTCCAGGAGAAGCTGGTGAGAGGTGGCCCTCATGGTGGGAGAAAACCCCCAGAATCAAGCATGTACCCAGCTTTACGAAAATAGTTAGCTTTGGCAAGCATTTAGTTGATCCAGAAGTAAATCCTAGGATAGAACTACAAGAGTCCTGTAGGAAGTTATCACCCACCCCTCTCCTAGAAAAATGAAATATCGTAGGAAATATTAAAAAGGCAGACTATTTCCCCTAAAAAGAGTAGAAACTCAGAAGCAGAAACTCACTTCAGAAGTAGAAGTTCACCCCCACTTTTGCTAATGGGCCATTACTCTGGCCTAGGCCAGCCTATTTTACATAACAAAGATCTCCAGGTAGAGGTATAGGAATTACCTAAAGCACTTTCATTACATCATCATCCAGCAAGGCTCAACCAAGCCTGGGACTAAGGACAACCTACAGAGTTAGCCCCATGGGAGTCTGACAACCAGTCAGAATACAAGATCAAATTCAAATCCCAACAGAAGGTATAAAACTCAGGCACTTTCAGAATCTCAGCCCTTCCTTCTTTGGAGCTCTAAGCCATGTGATCCTGTCTACCATTAAACCATCTTTCCAAACAGCCTCCATGTTTCCAGTGTCTTTTTCCCCACTTGGAACTGACCCCAGAAGGATAATTCTTCCAATAGTCCCTATAGTTAACAGGGGCAAGTGAGGCAGGCCTAGAACAGTGTTTCTGAAACGTGGCAACTTTAAGGAGCATGGACTTCAACTCCCAAAATTCCCTAGTCAGCATGGTGGGGCTGGGGAATTCTGGGAGTTAAAGTCCACATGCCTTAAAGTTGCCAAGGGTGAGAAATACTGCAACAGATGCAGTGAATGATTTTGGGGGCCTAGGTGCAGTGGTGGAATTCAATTTCTTTTACTGCAGGTTTTGTGGGCATGGCTTGGTGGGTGTGGCAGGGGAAGGATACTGTAAAATCTCCAGTCAGAGGTGGCATTTGCCGGTTCTCAAACTACTCAAAAGTTCCACTACCAGTTCTCCAGAACTGGTCAGAACCTGCTGAATACCACCTCTGCCTAGGTGCATATGTCATGGTGATTCCCCCTAAATCTCTCTGACAAGGATTTGATTGCCACCATCCAAACTGGAAACATACTGGTCAAAATAAGTTTTAGGCTATATTTCAGGAGATCTTTAAGTTTGGGAGGCACATTTGAAATGTTGAGAACACATGGTCTCTCTTAAAGAGACTGGACTTCCACCTGTCAGAAATGGTGTAGAGCAGGGGTGTCCAACCTTGGCAACTTTAAGACTTGTGGACTTCAACTCCCAGAATTCCTCAGCCACTG